GGCGGGAGTAGATCGAGAAGGCTAGACCGTCCAATTCCATAGCCGTTTACTTCCGGCCTACCCGACCTCCTGAGGACCCGGCCCACGTAGACCACGAAGGCCGGGTCCTCAGGAGGATGCAGCCCATGAATTTGGACACGACCATGTTGAGGAGGTAATTTAGCCGTTTAACTCAGCTGTGTTGGATCAAGGACACATCTAAAAACTGCAAGACACCAGCCCTTGAGGCCTGGAGTTCCCCACCCCTGATTTAAAGGATGGTATGCTATCCTTTTCTGTAGCTCAACCTTCTTCTTTTTCCATCAACAAAAGTACTGCGCCAACTACACATTACTCCTGCAGTGCTCATCCATGGAAACCAGTGCCATGAAGCTCATGACACATAGTTTTGGTGCTGATGTTATTGCCAGAGGAGGTTTGGAACTCTGCATTTATTCAGTGAGCAGAACGTTGTTGACTTTTACCATTTGCACTGTGCACCTCAGCACTCGGTGACCCTGTTCTGTAACTTTTTATGGTGTGTCGTGGTCTAGAATAAAGGGCTATTCTATTCTTTTCTAGATAGGAAGAAATATTATGAACTGACTTGCTGCACTGGTGGCTTTCTATTACAGTACATCACTCAAATTCTGTAAGGCCATTTTACAATTGTCTTTAAAGGCAGACTACATGGAAAGGTGCTTGATTTTATAGACCTGAATTCAAAAGTTAAAGGTGTGGCCCGATACTTTCGCCCATATAGTGCTTGTCAATCAACTGTAAATAAATTACAAAAAATATTAAAAATGACTCATTCTCTGCTAATGCTCTGAGTATGGTTTTGCTTTAAATTATGGGTTTGAGAAACCTTTGAAACAAACACCTGGTCCAGATGTTGGGGAAGGAATGAGTGGCTGACGCAGCTCGTCTGTATTGGGATATGAATAACAAGATTTGTCATGGTCCAAATGGATCCACAAAAAGAAATACATAAATAAAGCCACATCCACAGAACTAGTGTGTGTGTTTGTGTGTATATATAGCAAGATGTTCATTTGCACATTTTCTAATATCTACATTTTCCAGCAGAAAATAGAAAATTAATAAAACATTTGTTGTAGCCATCATCATCTCAAACAAATGTCCAACAAATGAATGGTAGTTCGTCGTGGGATCACTCCAAAAGAGAAGATGTTGTTTTGTTTGGGAGTGAACTGTCCCTTTAAATCAGATGTGATTAGGAAACAGATGAACAGAATTTAAGAGCCTTTTTTTTTGCTACAGGATTCAGTGATTCATTCTTTAAAAGCCTGCTGTAACAACGTTAACACTGTATCTCATCACAGGCTGAAGAGAAATGACACCCAGGTCGACCCAGCCTAAACAGTGCTCCACTCTGACATCTGCGCCACTTCAAGTCACAAACCACTGGAGTGGAAACCGAGTGCAGATCTTTCTTCTGGCTCATCTTATAGATTTTAACATAACTCCAAGTTATGTAATGGCACAGCGCAAGAGATGTAGTTGACAAGCCGTGAAAGGCCAATGGTTTCCTGCAAACCAGCTTGTAGCCTTATAATCAAAGCAGCCCTGACAGAATTGGATTTAGATATGCAAACATGCACAGGTTCTATTAATAACCAATGACCTTTACTTGCAAAATTTCCTTTCATGACCAAAAAAAGAAAAGAAAAACCTCTTTCTAGTCAAAGAAATTAAACATACATGTCTCTGAACTGTCGTTTATTATCCAATCCCCCTGTTTCCACATGACTTATACCCTCTTCCTTGGATTATTTAGTGTGTGCACCCATGAATGAACTAACAGCTTCACTGCGCAATGGTCTGTCTGCTCCATAGGATTAGGCCATGAGCCCCCAACTGCCGGTGACAAACTGAAAACTAAAAACGCCAACAGCATATGGCGCAGGGGTTTATGGGATTACTCAATTAACAAGGTGACTCAGAGAGATACTAATCTGCAAAATGTTTCTTCGACTGTAATGCATGCAGTGGAGTAGAGTCTTTTGAGCACCCAATACCCAATTAAACACACACAGAGACACCTCCGTGTGTGGGGGGTGTGGTTAAGCAGCCAGGTATAATTGTATTAAATGTAAAGCCATGCGTGTTCAAGCTCTTCGGGTGCTCATACCAACAAACTACCCAACGACGTTCATTCACAGAGGCAAAAACAGCGTGCACCGCTGCTGTCAGCGGGAGGCTCATTAATTGTAATTATCCTGACACAAAGTGCGCCGCAGGCAGAAACACCACCTTCAAGTGCGTGCTGTGAGCGCTAAACGGGGCGCATGACGCACAACTGGACCAATCCGCAAGTGGACACCTTTTTCACGCAGTGAGACTGAAGAAGCGCTATAAAATTCAAAGTTTTGATTCATAACCCAATATCCACAAAACTAGAATAAATATTTGTGTGCCTAATTCATAAAAACGTTTAGAAAAGTCCATTTGTAATCCAGTATAATAACCTGCAGTTTCTTTCTTGTTCGTGTCCCTGTTTGCGTCCCACAAGATAACCAAGCGGGAACAACACTCAGATTCTCACAACTTATTCCCCCATGACTTCCATATACATTTCAGACACGTTGCCCAGGGATCGGTCTGCATTTGTTGTGCTGTAGCCACCGTGAGCTCGATTGGGGATGCTTACCGTGTGGAAAAGCGTTGGGTTGCACCGCATACAGGAAAGCATGGACCATGTGGAACAGAATCCCTATCGGTCCAGGTTCGTAATGGGCCAGCGTCTCGTAAACTCCCGCTGGCACATAGCCGAAATTCAACTTTCCTGGGGGTGGGAGTCTCCGCGGCTCCGTCTCTTGCTGGAGTTCGCCGGATGCCAGCCACAGCAACAGCAGGAGGAGGGTTCCCGGCTTCCACATCGTGTCCAAACGAAACACCGACCTGGCGTGAAACTGGAACTAAATTCTCAGTGATCGAGAAAACTGGACGGCGACTGCCCGGAATCTTGATTATTATCGGAGTGGGGGGAAAGAGAGAGTAAATATAAAAGTGTTCCGCAGCTTTTTAAGTCCTGCTTCCCACCGAGCGACTTGTTCCGAGCATCGTTCCCCGCGGTCTGGAGCTCTTAGACGGACGCAAATCGGACGATCTTCTCCCACGTCCCCTGTGTTCGATGCGTTTGGATGAGCGCGCCTGTCGCTTCCACTCCGGCATCTGTGCAGCACGGGGATGCGCTGCGTCACGGGAGCGAGCGATGGTGCGCGCCGCCGTTTGCACAGGGAGGACGGGTCCAGAGGGAGGTGCTCCTCCTGTCGGGGAGAGGAAGTAGAATCTTAAAGATCTAACCTACTAACGTTTTGATTGGAGAGATTAGTTTGGGGCAGAACACGTTAAAACCACCTTTAGACAGTTTACATATATTGAAGTGCCGTTTTGAGGCACTTTTCCCTCGGGTCTGCTGGAAATCATTAGATTTTATATTAGAAAATCATGCTTATCCAGCAATATTTGACTTTAGTATCACTTAAACATGTTTAAAATTAATTTCTCACCTTTTGATAGCATTGCATTGTTTATAAGATCCATCTACACAATCTACATTAAGCGTTATTTTTAAAAAATGCTGAGATGTGAGCTTGAAAAAAGACAAAGAATGTTTTTTTTTTCACAACAGGAATTCTAGTTGTGATAATATTCACATCTTTGTTGAATTAATTATGCAGTGTTACTGACACAAATAGGCTCACCGAGTAATTAGATTTTTTTCCTTTCTTTTTTTCTGATTTTGAGTTTGTTTTGTGATTCTTGGTTAAATATTGAGAGGCATAGAAGACTCACACCAAAAACAAACAAAAAACACTGATGTTTGCAGTAGCCCTGAAAAAATCAATCAAAGAAAGCTGATTAATTATCAAATAAATACTTTAAACAGTTACAACTTTCATTTTCTTATATGACATTTGCAGCTAGCTTTCACCCACTGGTTAGTTTTAAGAACTAAAAACAATTTTTCTTAGGGGGACACTATTGTAGCTGTGGGTTAAAATACACTGCTCCACAGAGGTAACCCTTCAAGTTGAAACATGCCAAGTTGGGAGGAAAAGTGATGTCTAATGCCAACTTTATGGTTAATGCACTAGAACACCTTGTTCCCTATAGGACAGTAGATTTGTTAAAAGCAGATTATTTTATTCCCCGGAAATGAGAATGACCGATTACATGTACATTTTCAGACCAGATATGGTAATTAAGCAGTATAAAGTCCATGTTGAATGTAATATGTGGTGCTCCAGTGGGTCAGGCAGAAGGCTTTTATCTGGGAGAGTGGGGTTGGGGTCCTGTGTGAAGCCAAAAGCAGCACTGACTTACATTTGCCAAATATCAAACACCTGAGTATCCATGCACTGAAGAAAAAAGAGGAAAAGGGCTTTTTTTTTTCTCTTTCATCTTTTCTGCTCACTGCAGCTTTAAATTGTCAGTTGTGAGGGAATATTATCATTATATCCACCACAGAAGTATAATTACTCTTATTTAAGTTAGAATCAAAGTTAATAAGCTGATTACAGCCTTAGATGTTCACGTGGGGCCATTCTGGCTGTTCCCAGGCTGAGGTTTAAATCTGAAGGTTGTTGTGTTTTCGCCATCTTAGATTCTGACTCCGGAACAACCTTCCCGAGGAGATGAGGTTTATGGAATGACTTACTTCCTTTAAATATCTTTTGAAAGCAGAGTTTTACTTACTTGTCTTTTTTTAATTTCAGAAATTAGAAATGTAATTGTTATGCTCTTCAACATGTCCTTTAAATGTGAACATTACAATATCTTACATAATTTTTATTGTAAAAATGTTTTCTTGTATCAGCTATTCCCTAGTCAGCTTTCTCTTCTTCCCACTATCAGGCTCTTCACCTTCCTGACCTTTGACCTTTTTCCCCAGAGGGCAGACAGAGGATACCTGCGTGCAGCTCATAGGATTGATTTCATTGGCAGAGAAGCAAACAGGTGGGTTTTGCTTCTGTCTCTTTACACAGTAACATCCTTGTCCTCTTTCTGGAGTGCATGGGGCCCCAGCTCCTGGTGACAGAGGGGCCTCCTGTTTGGAAACCTTTGATCACTGATTGTGAGCACATTTCTTCAGTGACAACACACACTCATTAGACCTGCAGAGGAGCAGATGAGACATTCAGTTTTACAGACACATGATATGCTAGACTGAGGCAGTAGAATTAATTAGTAGATTCATTAAGAACAGTTTTTAGTGTATCTACAACTAAATGATCTCATTAAAAATATAAATGCAAGATTAAATTCTGTCCTCCTTTTTCATACTGCTCTCTGCTCTTAATAATTTTATCAAGTAAGATGTTTCAGAAATTGGAATGTAAATGACCACCATATCTTGCGTGTGGATGTGGACTTTGTCCAAGTATCACTATCATTCCCCTCAACCTTTCTCAAGACAAATTCCTGTCAGATCTGACAGAGCTGAAGCTCGTCTCAGTTCTCAGCAGTGTAAGGAGCTTAGCCCTCTAAGAATGTCTGTTGCAGATTTACTCTGCCTGTCCTTCACTTCTGAACAGGTACTCAGGTACTGTGCAGCCCAGTATCAAGTCAGGCAGGGTTCATGGATAAAGCTTACAGGAAGTTTGACGGGGGGAAAAAAGAAGCACCTTTATGCTTCCTGTCATCAACAAAAAAAAAAGGAAATCCTAATCTGACTTTGTACTCTGAAAGCTAAAGCCACTGATGAGTGGTTCTTTAAATGGCTAAATTAAAAACATTCACTCAGTGACATCAGTTTATTTTCTCCTTATACTTCTGGAAGCACTGTAGGCCTGCATCTTTCTGGAGCCTTCATCCTTATCACACCACTGGTATCCGTCAGCAAAAAGTTTGCTCAACTGTCCTGCAAGCAAAGCAGTTTCTATGATTTCATTCATAGAGCTGTAAGAACCTTTCCCAACCAAATCCCAACTCAAGATCCAGTTCCCAATGTTCATCCAGAGTTCGAGTGTATCACAGAGAGCGAGTGATACAGGTCAGGATCATCTGAAATGATGGATCATTAGATAACAAGCATTATCATATAATTTAATGCAAAACGTTTGGTAAGATGCTGCATTTGTGTAAGTAAAATAAGCTTGCGCATACTCACAGTGAACTTTAAAACATAGTTTCAGACTTGAAGTTTGAATAATTCTGATTTTCAGTCATGAACTTGAGTTAAAAAGCAAATAATTTGAGGTTCGAAAGTGAACTTTTTCAAAATACATTCGACGTTGAAATCATAAATATGAGAATACCCTCAAAAACACAACCCAGAATGCTTTAGCTCTGCATGTAGCTACAATAAAACAGCACACTTACGAAATCAACTTTATTACTCCAAATGGGCAAGTTCATACAATATCAAGGTAGGAATTAAATATGGAATCAAACTGAGGAAACAAAGCAGGCAGTGTACTGGACCATCGCAGCTTGTATAAGAGCACTTCTACAGTGCTTCTATATCCATTAACCCAGTTAAGCTCAGGTGTGCTCAGCTGGGCCCAGTTGAGGTTCGGTCAAATCTCCACTGCACACCTGGAACATCAGCACCAACTCGGTGTACAGTGAAGACTGAACCAGTTCCATCAGGCAGCTCCAAAAATAGATCGTCCTTATTACAATAAAGAAACGCTTCTCCAAAATACAATCAAACGGATGCTGATACATGTAAACACTATATACACCTTCTGTTTAAAAAAACAAAAAACAAGCTTTCTTTGCCAAAATAACATTAAATATATCACTGTTAAGTATTTTACAACCAAAAAGGTACTTGTTTTTACACCCCCAAATAAAAGAAGCGATGGGCAGAGTGCGTCAAAAAAGTGGAACGTGGACACAAGTGACCTGAGTTTTTAATCTGATGATTATAAAATAATTAGTGTGAGTGAAAGGTTTGTCTAACTCTGCCACTTTTGATTAGCTGCTGTCAATCAAAATGCTAAGATCAACTTTGTAAACATGGAGGAAACAAGAAAGTGCTCAGTGATATATTGCCGTAATTTTACAATTCAGATCAGATGAAACAAAAGTTACTGAAAGATTTGGCACGAATTTGAATCATAAACTTCTAATAAAGTTACAAAAAATATATTATGTTTAAACTAAATTACACAAATGGGTGTCAAATTAAAACTTGATGACATTCCTGGTCTCTTTAAGGTGTTTTTACTTTTAGATGATTCACACAATTTACAAAAAAAAAAAAAGAAATCATAGCGAACAACTCTGCAAGGTCAGTCAAAAAAAACAAAAAACCGTCTTAAAACACACACGCAAAAAAGGCATTTTATTGTGTAAATATTGCTTCTATTATCCTAAGATGTAAACATTAGAGCATCACTAGAGTCGAATGAGAAACATGACCGTATTTAAAGGCAATACGGCCCATCAGTGCATTCAAAAGTAATTACAGATTAAATAGCATTCATCAAAAAATTATGCTCCAATTTGAGTCGCCCCACCAAATGATAACTCTTCCCATTGATTATGTCCATTTAACAGATAGCTGCGTGTAAACTGTCTTAAACTAAGTGACTGGAAAATCAAGATTATAATGGGCTATGACATACAAATGCACTTTTTCCATCATTTTAAATGGACTTCTGCTCTATGACTGGCTATGTAAGTGGGTGGTAGATGAAGCACATTTAGAGTCAGCAGTCATTAACTGCTTTGGCTAATACTGTACGCTGACTGGATCGTTTAATGAAAGGCTGTTGAGTTGGCGAAGGCGCAGGATGGCTGCAAATGTCTTTACCTAATGGCTGTGTAAATGAATTTTTTAAGGCTCCAATCTAAAAAATAATCACTGTTTTTAGCTGTGTTTGCAACACCTGTAACTCATACTGGATTGAAAAATTTGAACCAGCTTCACTGAGGTACGGACTTTAATCAACAGATCTCCAATATCGACAGTGTGCGACCGTTCAGAGCCATGTTTCCTAACCTTTCAGTCATGTGATCTCTTAAATCAAAACAAGGTCTGATTAAAAACCCTTCATTATTCCGTTTTGACTCCAGTTTTTTCTGCTCTGCTTTTTAAGTTCATCTGAATATTTTCTAGACAACCACAATGTAAAAAAGAGATGAGAATTTTGTGATCCTTGGGTTGCAAACTGCCATATAATAACAGAGCTACATTTCTTAGCTCAGATGTTTTAAATAACCTCTGTTTTTGTTTTC